ATAGATAGTATGGAACTTGATTTCGAGGGTTTTACGTTAGTAAGGGCCGACAGAACACAAAAGCGTAAAGGAGGGGGAGTAGCTCTATTCATTATGAATGCTATCCCATTTGCCATTATCGATAGTGTATCCCATGAGAATGGGACGTGTGAATTAGTTAGTCAAGGGACAAGAGCTGCTGATTGATTTGGTCTATCGCAGTTCAAGCTGTGAGATAAATGAGATCCTGCTAAGCAGTCTCAATACTTGGTCACAGAGTTGTCGATGTCTAATCCTAGGGGACTTTAATGCACCTATGGTAGACTGGGAAAATCTGCGAACTGAATCGTCGGAGAATTCTTTCGAGCAGGAACTAGTTGATGCGGTTATCACATGTGCTCTAGTGCAACATGTGAAAGAAGCGACTAGGTATGACCTGGACACTGAATCATCCTTACTAGATCTGATACTCACTCACTATGTGGATGACGTTGCGAACCTTCATTATATGCCACGCCTAGGTAAAAGTGATCACGCAGTTTTAATTTTCGACTTCCATATAACTGTCAGTCACGAGCACGCGTCAGTCCAGTCCAGACCAAACGTCTGGAAAGCAAACATACCAGACATCATGCACTCAGCATCGTTAATAGATTGGACAATAGACCCAGAGTCCTCCATTGAAACGGCCTGGGACGCATTTCGAAAATCATACTTAAAAGTTACCACACCTCACATCCCTTGGACTATGCCAAAGGGGCCGAAAAACTCACCACCATGGTTCAGTAGGGAGGTCCGTATCCTTCTCCATAAGAAAAGGAAAATGTGGGATAGATTTAGGTTACTGGGGACTGATGAAAATAAATTCTTGTATAGAAAAGTCCGGAATAATTGTGCCTCGACCCTCCGTAAGTCTAGAAAGTTGTACGAAGAAAAGATTGTTAGGGAATCCATAGAATGTCCTAAACGCTTGTATACTTACATAAACCAAAGGACAAAGGGAAGAGGAAATATTCCTGCTCTATGGGGAGACAGTACTGCCGCGTCACTAGTGGAGGACGACTTCGGTAAGGCTCAAGTGTTCTCAAACTACTTCAGCAATGTATACACCATAGATGCACCCTTCCCATCAACACATACAGATCCCCCCACACACACTGGATAGCGTGACTATTAAAGAACTCGATGTCTTTGGTCTACGAAATAAGCTTGACATAGGTAAATCCACGGGGCCCGATGAATTACATCCTAGGCTACTGAAGGAATTATCTAACTTCGTTGCGAACCCTTTAAGTATATGCTTTAACCTATCCGTAACGCAGGGTCGTTTACCCAAAGACTGGAAAAACGCCATAGTAAGTCCTGTCTTCAAAACAGATACGAAACACAAACCTGAGAATTACCGCCTCGTTAGCCTAAGTAGTGTGGTTGTTAAAATCTTAGAAAAGATTATTCGGAAGTAGCTGTTTAAGTATCTCGATAAAAACTGGATCCTTTCAGAGAAACAGCACGGTTTCAGAATAGGTTACTAACTAATAGGTCACTAACTTATTAGTGGCTCGTGAAAGCTGGTGAGCTCTTAAGGACCAAAAGTTACCTGTAGACGTAGCCTACATTGATTTCAGCGAAGCTTTTGACAGGTTCCGCACAACCAGCTGTTATATAAGTTGAGAAATGTCGGGATTGAAGGCAATCTATTTATGTGGATAAAAGACTTCTTAGTTGGGCGTCAACAAAGAGTTCGGGTGAACTCAAAGTTATCTGGCTGGGGAACTGTGCTTAGTGGAGTACCCCAGGGTACAGTTTTGGGGCCAGTGCTATTCCTCTTGTATGTAAATCACCTTCCTCGTCTCCTATCATCATCGGTCTTGCTATATGCTGACGATGTCAAGATATGGAGAACGATACGATGTAAGAGTGATAGCTTAGAACTTCAAAATGACCTGAAGAAGTTATCTGAATGGTCTCAAACATGGCAGTTGCCGATAAATACTTCCAAGTGTGTTGTGATGCATATCAGTCATCAAGACACAGATACATACACGATGAATAACACTGAGCTACCTGTCGTCCAGACATATAATGACTTAGGAGTTATCGTTAGTCAAGACTTAAAGACTACTGCACACTGCCGTGCAATAGCCGCCAAAAGTTTTAGAACGTTATGGTCAATACGTAGGGCTTTTAGTCATGTCGACGCTAAAACGTTTTTGACTTTGTATACAGTGTTTGTACGTCCTAAACTTGAGTACTGCATACAAGCGGCTAGCCCCTGCTTAGAAAAAGACAGTGAGCTCCTGGAAAAGGTTCAGAGAACGGCGACTAAGCTGGTTCCCGGAATAGCGAAACCTCCGTATGAAGCTCAACTGGCCAAGCTGAACCTTCTTCCCTTCTCATATCGCAGAACTAGGGGCGACTTGATTACAGTTTTCAAATTGCTTAGTACCAAATTTGCACCTGATATGCCCTCATTTTTCTTGTCTTCCAAAACAGAGAATTTACGAGGACACTCCGGAAAAGTTCACAAGCCAAGAACAAATTACTTGTCAGCTGACTATCGACTTTCCCATCGAATCATCAACGAGTGGAACTCATTATCTCAGCACGTGGTTGAGGCTCCATCCGTCCATTCTTTCAAAAGAAAGTTGGATAAACTCATGGACCATCATTGTCAGGACTAACACAGGCAATCAAGCCTCCTGTTCTTCCCAAACTGAAACTGAAATTGAACTTCCTTACTTAGTATTAGATCATCATCGATACCTTCAGGTAGGAACCTAGGTATATTCAACAATTCAAAGAGAAATATTACTAAATGGCAGTGAAATACTGGCATGAGTCCCTAGGTTTTCCCCTGGAAGACACCTGAGGATTCATCTGGACTAGGTCAGAGGATAACGAATTCCAGAGTACAACTGCTCACAAAGTGTAGAAGCCACACTGCATTCCGTTCTACTATATTGCGTCTCTAATTTCTGGATGATATTCCTTAGGTTTGCATCAGAAGTGAGCTTAAACAGATGTTTAGGGGAGTGCCTGTGACAATTTAAAACGTTATAGGTCGTTAAAAGTTCAATCCGTAAACACCTAGACCCTAATGTGTAAAGATTCTGTGATTTGAGGCGCTCCTCCTAAAATTTGGCTTCGAATCCCCGGAATGGCTCTCCTTGTGATATGTCCCAATGTGTTGTTATCTTTTAGGAACAAAGAATGATAAGATTTAGTGTCGTACTCTAAATACGGCTTAATAAAGCTTTAAGGATTAGACAGAACCTTTTCCTGCCAAGTTGTATGCGTAATCTGCGAAGCGTTTCATATGGAATACTTTCCATTGTCCATCCCAAACTGAAACTGAATGCATTTGGAAACCAGTACATGCTATTTTCCATGACTTTAACAATGGGCTTGTTTACGATCACATAGATACTTCATAGTGCAATTTGTAAAGATCGGTTGCGATAACTAATTTTTTCCGTGGCTCCAAAACTGCTTTGAGAGATGAATGTTCCGTGCCCAGGAAGGATGTACATATTTTGTGACAGTTGATCTGACTCCAACATAAAAGTAGTAATGTGTAGTGGCACTGGTTCGAACCACAAAATCTTCATAGTTGAACGAGAGATAACTGGGTAAATGTATATCCAGCAATTAACACAGTAGGAAGATCAACAGTAAAGGTGCTAAGAATTACTAGTTGAATTCAATCGGATGACATCACTTAGCCTCACAGATCTGGTCATTTTGTATGACTTGTCTTTACTCACATTAAATATATCATTGTATACTTAGATTAAATGTGTTCTTTAGAAACTCCAGACATATAAATGATTTTACGATACAAGTCAGAATAAACAGTGATATGACTTCCACGTACGTTCTAATAGATTAGATGGTCACACCATGACAAATCTATGATTTCAGGATTACGTCTATTATTATAGCAGTACTAATAACCATCTACACTATAATTCTACAAATTTATATGTCATGAACATAAATCTTCCATTACTGCTGGGCTAACTCTGTTTGTGTGATAAAAAGAAGCTAATTTGGGGCTGGGTTGGGCGAATTTATTTCCGGAAGTTGTTTGTCCGAACATAAATATGAACGAGAAGCGTAAAAGGAAGGAAAGCGATGTAGTGGACAAAAATATGTCGATTTGCCATGCTACTCATTAAAAGTGTTGGTACAGTCCAAAATAGATAATGCGTGGTATGACAAATAGACAGCCATTGGATAAAGTAGTGAGCAACAGTCAAGCACACACAGATTAACACAAGAGGAGTTGCTGTAGAAATAAAATGCAATAAAGACGTGAATGTACGCTGAAGATCACAATTTTCTATAGAAACAATAGTTATTACAAGGATGAAATAACTGAATGGTTACATGCTGTCTGGGTTATTACGGTTTATTTAATGGCGAGTATGAATCATATGTGTATTAATCCACATTCTACACATACAGACAAAGACGCCTCAACATCAGGATTCCTCAATAAACTATCCTAAAACCTGCTTGCTTCCACATTCTGGATAAAACAAGCTCCTCGAATTTCTTTTGAGGTGATTTTATTAAATTCAGTTGGCCTCTAGTAATGTAATAGAATTGATTTTAGCTGCATGGGAATTTCTCATCCGGGACAACAAGTAAAGATAAACTGCCTCAAATCCAACCCATCACAATACCAATTTACGAACACTGAATTTCATGTAACACATAGAACCCAAGTGGCTAATCTTTTATTGTTTAGGCCTATTAGCCTCGATCAACTTGTGAAATAACGCAAATCACACAAGGAATTTTATGTGTGCTATTCTTTACATTCTCCAAATTAATTTTGATATCGTAACTCAGAATATGTTTTGAATTACACCTATTGTACATGAAAAACCATTTTGGAAAAGGACAATAAACCATTACATTTGTCTCAAAGATCCTTTTTTAACGAAGTTCAAGAGACAACATTCATTTGGAAAAAATTAGGATTGGGGATTGATCCACAGACGGTAATAGTGCGCCCAAGACATATTTATTCGGTACTTTAATTTGTTGCCGAGGTTCAGATCGTGCTTTGTTGGTACGTTTATAGTATGCTATAAGTAGGTAGTATGGGTGCTACCAGGGATTCATTTTAAATGAGACACAATAATACGGTGGGCAAAATTAGACTAGTTGCCTAATGTTACAGTGAAGTTTATCTTTATAAGTTAATTGGTTATGTTATTGCCTATTTGTTTTACATACTTCTGGGATCCAGGAGTGAACATTCGACCACAGTAAAAGTTCGCAATTCCAAGCAAACATTTTCCTCCCTCTCAGTGTTCTGTGATACTGTCTTGTTCTAATGAATAAGTCGAAATTTCTTTTGTATAATCTAGCTGCTTAAGTATGTATGTTGTTTACAATCCTACGGTAAAACTTTCACTTAGCTAATCAGTATTAGCTCTGACAACTACTTCTTACTAACTCTTATGTATCTTTGTAAGGAACATACATTTTTAGGTCCTGTAAATCAAATTCATATTGTGCGTAGATGTATTTGATGAGGTTTATTATTCCGAGTCAATCATTGTCTATTTCATCTATATTCAAATAAACCAGACTTTCAAATTATATCTATTGAACACTGGTGATCTTATATTTAATGTTATATAAATCTATAAAAGTGAAACTGCGGGTTTAAAAAAAAACATGTTAATGGAGAAATCACAATAACTCGACCCCACTTTCTTTCCTTTCGAATCTTTAAAAGTCCCTTATCACCAGATATGGAATATGTAATAAAACATAGATAGAATAAGCGCCTCAACGTAATTCGGAGTATCAGAGTAGGGAGTGGTTGTCCAGTTGAATGTTTAGTTTATTGAGAGACATATCTATCGATACCTATTTCGCAACAATTCCCTCAGCAAGTTACATGAGATGTTCCTATAACCATCATTGATAGAATGGGAAACCATTTTAACCTGTCAAAGGTGTATTTAACATTCAGATCTCTCACATCAGGCATTAATTCATCTGTTATTTTTTGTTTCACGATATAGTTCTTCGTCGAGAATATGTATAAATTGAGATTCTAGGAATAAGAATGGAAATGATTAAGTTAAAACAAAAATCAAGTTTTGATATGCTTATTCTGAATTACCTTCATTAGAACAAAAGTACAGAAGTAATATCTAGTGTTCAAAGGATAAAAAACATTGATTATAAGCTTATAAACTTTTGGCTTTATTATAATGACAATTTGGATTACTTTCAAACTTTATTCATCAGTAATCGCTGAGCAAAGCTACTCCATTTCATCTAACTACATTCAGTTAGTGCAATCCTGAACTCTAAATTGCATACAGTTCTCTTTAAATTCCTCCGGAAATTAGTACAGCTACTGATTTTTCCACTAGCTTTCTTTTGTAAGTGACATGACAGCCCTAGCTACTTCGAACCCAATTCTTGTAAAAATATCTATTTAGTAAAAATCAAAGAAGACAAATTTACATTCCGATTAGTCGAATTATACATAGATTTCATACACTGACTTTTAACTAAAAAAGTGTCAAACTGGATGAATATCACTTGAAGGAGAAGTAATGAACTTATTTATATAATGACAGTTCGCTGAAAGTCAATCGAAGAAAATTAATTATAAACCTATCTAATCTTACAATTGGTTTCTTCCTAGTATGTTGTGTTTTGGGGTTCAACATCCTTAACAATAAATCAAGTTTATTGTTTGTCTTTAAAAATGCCACAAATATCAAAGTACATCTTTGTAATAGCGTTTAAATCTTATTCCTTGTCTTTTTTGAGATTTCCCTCTTTGGTCTTGAGAGAAAGCGTAAAATAATTTTTACATTCTTAATGATCATTAGCATCCAGAAGTTCTCCCATGAAAAAATAAAGACAAAAGCGTTAATAGATAAATATGTTTTATTTCATAGGTTCCCAGCAACTGTTAGCAACCAACTCTATATTTACAGTCATTTATAACCAAATGAATAACTCCTTCAAAGTGGGAGCAACCTCTTGAATATCAACAGTGCAAGTGAGTAAATTTACAACAGTCCAATAACCAAAGCAATTATTTTCTATATTTATTGCTAAGTGAATAATGCTTAGATATGTCATCTATTTATTTCTGTATTTTGGTTACGTCAATGTTTCTGTATGAACTTACAGTTCTAGTGCTGTTAAGTTTCAAACACCTAAGATTCAGTTTTGGTGTCGTATTTCTTAATATTTGGGTCTTCAGAAATTTCTTATACATAAAACGGTATTCGAGGGTGATTCAGATCATCAAAATTGTTTATTGCTTATTTCTTCAGAAGATAGTATAGTTCCAAGTTAGTTGATAATCTTTTTACATCAAAATCGTACACTGATAAATCTCACACAATTCACTCTGCAAATATTTTCTTGTTAGTTAAACGTTTAATAATAATAACTATATTCAGCATTTATAAACTAGTTTAGTTTTATTTTATATAATGTAGTATTTCGCGATACAAAAGCTGCATAAATAGTTTTTTTTATGATCGGGATATTTCTTATTCATACTCATATACGATTCGTCGTAAAGATAGTTATTCCTAACGTGCGTGATTTAATAATCACTATTGAGAATATTATTTACTGTATTATTTTAAAATATAGTTATCTGATATTTAAATATATCTTTAGGTGCAAATGATTCTTGACTTATTTGTTTTTTTCTTTGTGTTTCATTTAACAGTCAATAATATACTACCCACACTACTTATATTAGTTGTAGTTATTACGGTTATGTTTGATTTGAAGGGTTAGGCATTGTATTTTCTTCTCATTAGTTAGAATATATTCTACTCTCAGTTCTATCACACCGATTTCCACTAGGAATTTTATCTTGTAGCAGTCGCTTAGTAGCGAAATCTCTTTACCTTCAACCGTTCGATCTTGAGCTTAAGTCGGACACATTCACCTTGATTTCATAGTTCAGGCTGTATCACTGATCATCACGCAAATAGCGCGACTCAAAGTTACAGTTCATAAACTTATTGTTGCTCAAATAGCTGAATTTTTTCTTTCAAGAACCTTTTTTTCTCTCACTAAATCTCTATTCAGTTTTCCAGATAGTCAGTTTTCATGCATGTCACAGGTTTTAACTTTATACCAGCTACCTGGATAGCAGTCAGTATTTTTCATAAAATAAGTTTGATAGTTTAGTATTTAGACTATTACAGGATTATCGATTTACTTTTATTAACAGTCAATTATTTTAATTTATTTCCCTTGTTATACCTACCATTCTTTGATTTGTATGCTTTTTTAGTATACTATATTGAACTTGACAATAAGGCGATTAAAATTGTTGGAAAGTAGCTTCTTTGCAAATGCTGGATTTCCATGGGAAGCACTATTTCCGTCACACCCATGTACATTCTACAGCAAAACTTCTCACCCGGACTTTGTATTTGTTACTTTTAGTCTTAGTGCTCTCCAATCGACATGGCTAGTTTATTAAGACTTAGAAAAATAAGTATGTCTGTCAAAACGGCTTGATAGAGTGATATAAGTTTGGAAGTCCAACTATCATATTTAGGTAGCGGATACAGCCGAATCATGTCGCAGCATGTAACATCAATCCCGTCTGTTTTAAAGTATTGATTTTATATACAATATTTTTAAAATCTGGTCAATGTGGAAGGTTGTTTTAAAGGTATCTATTTTTCTAGTAGAAAATTTTATTCCATCAACATATGAGATAATATTTTATGCTATTTTTATGTGTGACTTGGGGGTATTTAACGTGTGTCATCCTGATGCTATTTTGATAAAGATTAAATAAAGGAAGGGAAATTTTATTTTATGCACTTCAGAAGCTGTTTAGTGGAAGATTAGTACATATTAGCACATCTAGACTCTTTGAATGGACTTATGACACCCATGGTACCAAGTAATTCATGATATTATCTGTGGGTACGAAGAAAAGGTGATTTAAATCGTAATATTTTTCATTCCCTCCACCTATATAAATAACAAGAAAGCTTTACCGACACTGTCGGGACAATTTTTGTTTGGTAGTTTGCAATTATATTTTTCCTCTTTTTAATTTGTGTCCACTACTTTTCATTATCTTTATGTTCCATTTTCCCATTAGGTAATTACATTTTGCTACTTGTTGAAATATATTATAAGTAATTCATATGCGATATGTTGTTTTCATAATACAGTATGAATTACTTTAAGTACCCAGACAACATATCACTATTTCGTCAGGACTCTGGCAAAATAAAGTAATATTATCGCTTTGAGAAACAATACAAGCATGTTCGCGGTGCGATTCTCTCTCCCCATGGGGAAATTGTTTCTTGACGTGTGGTCTGCACCAGCACCTAAAGTAATGATGAGTGAAGTATTCGAGCGTGTTGACCACTTCACTTACCTTAGAAGTTTCATCAGCCTTGTTGGGTTAGAACCTGAAAAAATCTTAGCACGGATTCAGAAAGCTCAGTCAGATTTTGCCAGCTTGCGTCACTTGTGGCGTGGGCGAGATATCCAACTAACAGCTAAAGAACAAGTTTACTGCGTAGCATTTCGTCGCCTCCTACTTTATGGCTGTGAAGAACGGTATTTAAAAGTCTGAGAAATGTGCAGGCTTCAGTGTTTTGATCATAGTCATCACAGTATTGCTAGCATTTCGTTAGATGACCATGTGAGCAATGTTCAGGTTTTTCACAGGGTAAACAAATTTAGGAAATTGGTTGATGAGTTTGTAAATCTTCGTCGTCTGAAGTTGTTAGGGCATGTGTTGCGCATGCGTAATCACCGGCTACCTTGATAAGTGATGTTTGCTGGTGTAGAAATTTGTTGGGATAAGGCTAGGGACTGCCAAAAAATATGTAATCATATCATGGAGTCGTTGGTCGTTGATCTGAGCCACGATGATGATGATAGACTACTCGACTGAGGTCCGCGTTATAAACGCGATTAACGGTTTGAGACTTTGAGTGACATCGTTCACATTGACCCAGATGCATTCATTACTTGTATTCCTCTCGAACTCAAATTTCAGTATTGATTGATACAATGTTTTTTGACTCCGTCTATTTGAAGCTTTTTATCAGCGTTCTCATAACCATTGTTACTACGTTATTTCAAACTTCTTGATTATTTATTTTCATCTTATCGTGCTAATGTCGTGTGGCATCTTGCTCTAAGACACATCTTTGGCGATCCTACTTTGATGGCAACGGGATTCAAATACTAGAGAAATCTCAGTTTATACTGAGTATATATTTTGGGTGATTAACTATGTAATTTATGTTTAAATACCAACTTTCAACCAATTCATTTGTGGATAGCAAACATCCCGTCATATGGTAAATTAAGTTTCACTGTTGTTACCAGGTAATGTATTTTCTTCCCCTTCAAATGCTCTGGTACGGCCAAGTATGGGAAGTGTCAATCCTCCCTCTCGAAATGCTCTCACACGGCCACGCATATACAGCCATTGCCAGGGAAGTACTGCTCACTGTCTTCTGTCGGAGGGAGCGTTGTTTACGAAATTGAGAGGACGAAAAGCGAATTTCCGGCATTTCGGCTGGGTTAAAGGACACGGAGGATCCACCTAGTGGATTCGAAAAACCGTGATTCTGAACCAATGGTGCACATGGGCTTCAAAATTGTGAGAGAATAAATGACTTATGAATCTATTTTTAGTCACTGACTACTTTGAACTGGATCTCCTAACGTTGCTCCACTGCCTTATGGATCAGACTTTTAAGTTGAAGACTTGAGGAGTGGCTCCGTAAGGAAACTACCCGTTTTGTTTTATTTCTCGGACATTATCACAGCCTTTATACAAATCCCTGATAACTACTACTGGCCTTATTGTTGTGTGGCGCATATGTATTTGGTGCCTTGTTGTACCAATGTTTTTGTATGTAAATAAATAAATAAAGTCTCTTTTTATAGCTCTTCTTTAATCCTTTTGTTTACTTTATATTTCTGACAGTTCATCCCGCGAGCATATTTCTTAAAAAAGTGGAATGCTTGCTTCCGGTGCAGGGACTGGAGGTAGTAGTACACCAGATTCAAATGAATTTGTTCGTGGTACTAGTCCCGAATTTACAGACGAATTAGGTGAACTTGTTCCAGTACTTGACTCAATACATTTAGTTCCATATAAAGTGAGTATATTAAAAAAAATCAATTTCATTTAAAGTTTAAGTGTTTAATAATGTTAAACTTGTTTACGTGTAAATAAATATATCTGTATAAATTGGTCCCATTGAAAATCAGTGAGTTGTTAGGATAGTCCATAGGCAATATACCTGTCGTGCAACTATTTGAACAGTTCAATTCTGAGGAGGGTGTTTGTTCAGAGTTGTTTTTACACTTTATTATTGTAAACATGCACAACTTTTAGACGCAGTGCTTCCAGTTGAGTGATTTCACGGAGAGTTATATACCATAACAATATCACTAAATGCTAGTTCCTTTGAGCATTTGGCTGTGAAACATGACCTATGAAAGCAAAAGGCATACACAGATTACAATTATTTGGTCGAATTCATCAAAACATTGTTTACGGATCAGGAAGTGAGTCATTCTAAGGTTAAATATGGCGCTTCCACTAGAAACGACAAGTCGATTTCTGGACCTTTATATTTAAATAGGTTTTCCATTTCTAAAATGTAATAAAAGCGAATAACAACTTTATTTAAACTATTTGTCATTCATTGTATTTATTTTCCACTGTTTATTTCTACACTTGTTATAGATTTTTCATGGCACTCTAGAATTATAATATTACTACAATTAAAATGTGTCGTAATTATAATTAATGTTACTTACTTACACCTGTTACCCCTAGTGGAGAAGTACAGACCACCCGCAAGCATTCTCCGTCGAACTCTGTCCTGGGTTATCCTTTCCAGTTGTTTCCAGTAGCTATTCATTCTTTGGATATCTGTTAACGATTCTCGGCACAGTGTGTTCTTTGATCTTCCTCTTTTCTATTTTTATTCAAGATTCCAATTTTGTGCTTGCTTCGTGATTCAGTTTGATGATTTTCTCGATGTATGGCCTATCCATTTCCAAGGTCTTTTCTTAATTTCCTCTTCAGTTGGAAGCTGGTTTGTTCTCTCCCATAGTAGTCTGTTGCTGATGGTATCTGGTGAACGGACGTTGAGTGTCTAGGGTAGACAATGGTTTATAAATACTTGTACTTTTTTGGTGATAGTTGTAGTAGTTCTCGAAGATTCAGTTCTGCACAGTAGAACTGTCTTGACGTTCGTATTAAACATTGTGACTTTGATAATGGTTGACAGTTGTTATGAGTGCGACATGTCCTTCAGTTGTAGAAATGTTTCCTTTGGTTTGTCAATCCTCGCCTTTACATCCGCATCAGATCTTCGTCGTTCGTTGGTGATGCTGTTCGGGTACGTAAACCGATACAGGAAAACTGGAAACTCAAGTATATAGGAAACCGACCCATACAGATCAAATCCTCAATTACAACAGCAACAACCCAAGAGCTCACAAAATCAACTGCGTACACACATTGTTCAAGAGGGCGAGGACACACTGCAGCACGCTGGCAGCACGAAAAAATGAAGAGAAATACCTGAAGGACATATTTCAAAAGAACGGCTACCCAATCAACTTCATCAAAAAGCACCAACGGCACACAGCATCAGAACCCAAATCAAGCACAAAAATCAACAAAAGGATCACCCTACCGTACATACAAGGAATATCAGAAACCGCAACGAGACTGCTGAAAACCTTCGGGATAGGTGTGGCACACAAACCAACAAAATCATAACAATCAATCCTATGCAAACCAAAAGATGAAATAACGAAGGAAAACAAATCAAACATCAGTGGGAGAGAACAAAGCAGATCCCGGTGGAGGATGAAGTCAGGAAGAAGCGCTGGAAGTGGATAGGACACACATTGAGGAAAGCACCCAACTGCGCCACAAGGCAAGCTATCATCCTCAAGGCCAAAGGAGAAGAGGAAGACCAAAGAACACATTACACTGGGAAATGGAAATAGACATGAGAAGAATGAACAAGAGTTGGATAGAATTAGAAAAGAAGGCCCAGGATAGAGTGGGTTAGAGAATGCTTGTCGGCGGCCTATGCTCCATTAGGAGTAACAGGCGTAAGTAAGTATGTTGAGGCCTACCGCTGCAGAGGCTGCTGTCTATTTACCTGTAAGTTGTCCATTGTATTCTGTGCTTCCTGTGAGATGTGTAGGTTTTCGTAATCCAGTCGACTACCGGAAGAAAGAGGGAGGGAGAGAGTAGGCAGCCTTGTCTGACTCCGGTTATTCTTTGGGATGTGTCAGTCGGCTGTCCATGCACGCTGTGCAGTTTAGTCCGTTGTATGAATTCCGGATGATGTTGACGATCTTGTCAGGCACACTATAACGTCGATTAAGCTTACATAAGATTATCCTATTCACACTATCAAATGCTTCCTCATAGTCAATTAATTTGATGTATAATGACGTTCCATTCAACTGGTTGTTCAACAATGATCCGTAGTATCGCAGTTGGGTTTGTGCACGATCGATCTTTGTGGACTTTGGCCTGTTGACCAGGAAGTGGGGCGTTTACTGAGTTTCACGTGGTTCAGCAACATAGTTGAAAACAGGCTGAACACAGGCTTGCTTATCGGCGTCCGACAATGGTGGTCTTTCTTGACTTAAAAGCAGCATTTGACTCGGTAGACCGCGAGATTCTGTGGCAGTGTCTGTCATTGAAAGGCGTACCCCAGAAGTACATAAACCTTGTAAAGGCTCTTTACTCGAACACTACTAGTCGAGTCAGAGCTTATGGCGAACTGTCATCTACTTTTGCAACCTCAAGTGGTGTCCGTCAAGGCTGTCCACCTTCCCCATTTTTGTTTAACTTCATCATGGATCTACTGATGGAAATAACTTTCTCGTCGACTGGATTTTCAGGCATTGATCTACCAGGAGGTCCACTTATTGACTTGGAATACGCAGATGATATAGTCCTGTTTAGTGAAGACGCTGATAAAATGCAGAGTCTTTTGGTAGCATTAAGCAAAAATGCCAGAATGTTTGGAATGCACTTCTCTCCCCATAAGTGCAAGTTGTTGCTTCAGGACTGGTCTGCGTCAACACCTGAACTAAGGATAGGGAGTGAAGTAGTGGAACGCGTTGACAACTTTACTTGGAATTCTGATCAGCCCTAATGGGTTGGTGTCTGACGAAATCTCAACACGGATTCGAAAAGCTCGTTTGGCTTTTGTCTACTCACGTTACCTTTGGCGAAGGCGAGATATCCGTCTATCAATTAAGGGACGTGTATACTGTGCGGGATTTTGTTCTGTTTTACTTTACGGCTACGAACCGTGGCCATTAAGAATAGAAGACACTCGTAAGCTATTAATATTTGACCACAGATGCCTTAGAAATATTGCTGGCATCTGCCGGGATCACCGGGTAAGTAATAGTGAGGTTAAACGCAGGGTATTAGGGAATGTTGGTAAATCAGTTGATGAGTTTGTGAATCTTTATCGACTGAGATGGTTGGGCCACGTGATAAGTATGCCTGAACACCGATTACCACGACGTGCAATGCTATCCGGTGTTGGAGATGGTTGGAAGAAAGTTAGGGGCGGCCAAACCAAAACGTGAATCATACTTGCAGTTACTCCTATATCTGACTTCAGTGCTTCATCTGGTATTTTGTCATATCCTTCTGCTTTGCCGCTCATGTCTGATGTCCATCCTGATTTCTTCAATCGTTGGTGGGGTGACAGTTATAGGAAGGTCTGTAGGCGCTGCTTCGATGTTCGGTGGATTCAAGTGTCTCGTCTATTCGAGAGTTCTCTGAAATATTCTACCCATCTGTCCCTCTGTTCCTAAATCTCCGTGATTATCTTGCCTTCTTTGTCCTTGACCGGTCTCTGGTTTTCTATAATCCTCTGTTAGTTTCTTCGTTGTGTCATATAGCTGTTTGATATTTCCTTCTCTTGCAAATTTTTACACTGTCGTTGCTAACTCGTCCACATATTTATGCTTGTTGGCTCTAATGCTCCTCTTCACTTGTTTGTTTGTTTTGTGTATTGAGCTTGTGCCTTGACTTTCTCTGTTCTTGTTCGGCTGTTGTTAATTCTCGTCTTCTTGTTCTTCTTTTCTTGAATCTTGTCCAGGGTTTCGATGAATATCCTCTTGATGATCCTTCTTGTGGCCCATAAGCTCCTGACAGGTTGGGGTTAGTGCTTCTTGTATCTCTTTCCGGTTGTCCTTCATAGTAGTTTCTTCTCCCTTCAGTAGATCCTGTAGAGCTTGAGACCTGTTGTTGAGAGTTATCTTGAATTCATTGAGTTTGTCAGTGTGTTGGTGAAAGGCTGCACCGAATCTCTGTAACGCCGTTTCCTCAGTTGCTCAGTTCATCTTTAGCTTTAGTTTCATCTTGATAACCACCAGTTTGTGATCTGAAGCTATGTAACCTAGTCTCTTGTTTCTAACGTCTTTCATAGACCTTGTGAATATTTTACTGATGCAAATATGATCGATCTGGTTCTATGTAGTGTTGTCCGGTGAGACCCATGTAGCTTTGTGTATGCGTTTGTGGGGGAATAGTCTACCGCCTATAACCATTTTGTTGAATGCACATAAATTTGAAAACCACTCCTAGTCAGTCCATGTCGTCCCATGAGATTCCTATCGTATAAGTGCTATATCAGAGCAACTCCCTGTGTGCGCGGAGCATTTCATTCTTCGTGGCTCGAGTACAGAAGCATCTCTTCCGAATCCATCCTTTTCTTTCCAGCTTGGTTCCAATGGATTTCGTTGATTCCGAGAACGTCCAATTTGTATGTCCTCATTTCCGTAACTATTTGACTGGTCCTTCCGGTCTCTCACATTGTCCAACCGTTCCATTTACCTATATTAGTTGTTACTCTGGTTGTTAGAAGAGTATCGGCCTCATGGTTTCCGGAGAATCTCGAGTTTCACCATGTGGCGTCTTAATTCTTCTCAATGAAGATGCTTCAAATCGGAGGGCAGAGTTTCTATGGTTGAAATTGTTTATTCTGGTTAGCGATTTTTTAGCAAGGTTGTTTTCTACGTGATGGATTTGCTAACCCCATGCCAAACCCTCCTCCTTTACCCGGGTTTGGGAACGGCAGTAATCCTAGCCAGG